TCAAGACCAAAAACAGAAGCTTAATATAACAAATTGAGAGAGTAAAAAGACTCAAAAAAATCAGATTAAAGATGCACAAGGTAAAAAGCCATAGCGGAGTCGAAGAAAATGAAGAGGTGAACAGACTAGCAAAAGAAGGTACTGCATCAAACAAGTTTATAGAAGTTCAAGTACCCTAAAATGAACATATGCAAGTAGTACTAAGCTGGAACGAAATGACAATCGATAGCCTAATACAAAAATTTGTAAATCAAGTTACAACATCAATATTAGATGCAGAATGGGTAGGTCTGAAGAGGATAGAAACCTGGATAGAAAAGGAGGGTGAAGAAGGGATAGATTGGAGAGAAACATAAAGATATATAGAAGGAGTTAAGGGTAACAATTGTTTAGATAGTAGTAATAATAGTAAATGAATTTTTAGAGTTAAATGCTTTAACGAGTCACTGCCAACAATGTCAGAATTAAGAAAAAGAAAACCAGATTTATATGAGACAGATAATTGTATAATATGCTACATAGAATCTGAAATGATAAATCACCTAGCGAGCTGTAAAGAATTCCAAAAAATCTGGAATATAATAGAAAAAGAGGTCACTGAAGATGTAGTCAAAACACTCAAGAAAGAAGACAACACAGGCCTAGATCTAGAAGAAAATAATGTCAAAAGAAGTATCTTTGGCACAGAAGGCTTGGAAAGAATAGAAACAAGAAATTATATGATAAGAAGCTTGATACAGGAGAAAAAGAAAACAAGCATCGAAAACCTGACGCAAGGAAAGAACACAGCAAGAAAAGTAATAGGCAAGGCACTAAATAAATTCGGTGAAAGATTCTGTCAACACATATGGAACCTGAGGTGCGAAATACAAAATAAATGGAAAAAAAAAAGGAATCTCAAAGAAGGAAAAAAGGCTCAGAAAAAAAAGAGAAGCCAGAAAAACCTATGAGAACAAAGAAAACACCTCGGACCCAAAAAAGAAAAGAAAAGAAGAATGTAAAAAAGTGGCATTCAGAAATATCAAAAACATGGTTCAGTTCAGATCAAGGCCAACTTGGTTATCTCTAACAAGGTGTAAAGTAAATATGAATTCATTAAAGTAAGACAGTACTGACAAGGCATGTAACCATCAGCCGATGACTGAGAGGAAAAAAGTCTCCAGTAAGTTGGGAACCCCAAAGGAGGCCAATGGCTACTAAGGCAAGTCGTATCGGGCCTAGGCTTGGTGAGCCTTTTGTTTGGTTAGATTAGCATAACTATAGATAAAAATTTATGTAATTTTTTGAATAGTTTAATCTCAAATAAACAGAGGCAGATTGCCAAATTACAAAAAAAAAAAAAAAGTAATATTTTATAAACCTATGGTTGGAATTTGACAATTTTTATAATATTCGATTCGTCTCAATAAAATGAATCGAACGATATAAAAATTATTGAATTCTAGTTACTAGATCACGAGATATCTTCGATTTAGTAAAATAAAATTTTAAAGATCGTTATCAATTATAATAAATGTAATTGGCCAATTATCACGTGTTAGAATATAACCAATCATTTAATTTCATGTGATTGACAATCCTAGATTTTTTATTAGACGGACGACTTGGCTCTGAGTCACCATGCTAAATTTTGCAGTATAGCTTTTTAATGTTTATATTTTTCTGGCCCTTCTCATATAATCTTATACTGTATTCAAAAAAATAGAGGTTTTTTGCTTCCTGTACTGTATAAAAAAATTTTCTTAAAAAATTCAATCAATTGAATCGTTTGTATAATGATCTGTAAAATTTTTGTTGGTGTCCGAAATAATCCGAATTCGTAACGATAGTTTATTATCCTACTAATATTTTAAAATCATAGGAGTCACATGGTGTAATGTTTAGATTACTCGTATAAATAAATTTTTTGAATTGTGTTACATGGATATCACGTTGTATGTATCCTATTGTTTATCTATATAAAGCTATTCATGTAACACCTCCTATGAGGATCTACGTAAATCATGTGTTACGCATATATTAGTGTAACATCTGCCACGTGGATCTACTTAAGTTGATATTCATGTAATATCTAATATGCGTTATATTTATTAATATCTCACTTAGTACTTTCGATTTTGTCGAATCTTTGATTCTCTTTCAAATAGATTTAGTTTGCATATTAAATTTAATTTATCTATATAAATTTTTTTTTTAAATCACTTAGAATTTTGTAAAATAAAAAAAAAATGACTGAAACATCAGAAGAACGCCGTAAAAGACTTAACCGCGAACGTCAGCAACGATATCGTAAGAAATTACAACAAACAAGTGGTACAAATAGTACAGAGATAGCTTGTAATACACCTAGCAAGAACAGAAGGATTGAGAGCAGGCGATTCATTTCGAGAAGCAACTTCTTCAAAAGTGCTGTTACAGGAACTTGAAGAAAAGGTTAGAACATTAACAACGTCATAACGCATACTTACCTGTTCATTTGCCTGATTATATCTATCATAATCTACAGGAGTCTCTCTCTTTCCTTCTCTTTTCGTGATATTTGTTGATGTGAAACTTCAACTTCATTTCTTTGTCTTGCTGCTTCTTTTGTTGCTCTGAATTCTTCTTCTCTTGTAGGTGTATTACAAGCTATCTCTGTACTATTTGTACCACTTGTTTGTTGTAATTTCTTACGATATCGTTGCTGACGTTCGCGGTTAAGTCTTTTACGGCGTTCTTCTGATGTTTCAGTCATTTTTTTTTTATTTTACAAAATTCTAAGTGATTTAAAAAAAAAATTTATATAGATAAATTAAATTTAATATGCAAACTAAATCTATTTGAAAGAGAATCAAAGATTCGACAAAATCGAAAGTACTAAGTGAGATATTAATAAATATAACGCATATTAGATATTACATGAATATCAACTTAAGTAGATCCACGTGGCAGATGTTACACTAATATATGCGTAACACATGATTTACGTAGATCCTCATAGGAGGTGTTACATGAATAGCTTTATATAGATAAACAATAGGATACATACAACGTGATATCCATGTAACACAATTCAAAAAATTTATTTATACGAGTAATCTAAACATTACACCATGTGACTCCTATGATTTTAAAATATTAGTAGGATAATAAACTATCGTTACGAATTCGGATTATTTCGGACACCAACAAAAATTTTACAGATCATTATACAAACGATTCAATTGATTGAATTTTTTAAGAAAATTTTTTTATACAGTACAGGAAGCAAAAAACCTCTATTTTTTTGAATACAGTATAAGATTATATGAGAAGGGCCAGAAAAATATAAACATTAAAAAGCTATACTGCAAAATTTAGCATGGTGACTCAGAGCCAAGTCGTCCGTCTAATAAAAAATCTAGGATTGTCAATCACATGAAATTAAATGATTGGTTATATTCTAACACGTGATAATTGGCCAATTACATTTATTATAATTGATAACGATCTTTAAAATTTTATTTTACTAAATCGAAGATATCTCGTGATCTAGTAACTAGAATTCAATAATTTTTATATCGTTCGATTCATTTTATTGAGACGAATCGAATATTATAAAAATTGTCAAATTCCAACCATAGGTTTATAAAATATTACTTTTTTTTTTTTTTTGTAATTTGGCAATCTGCCTCTGTTTATTTGAGATTAAACTATTCAAAAAATTACATAAATTTTTATCTATAGTTATGCTAATCTAACCAAACAAAAGGCTCACCAAGCCTAGGCCCGATACGACTTGCCTTAGTAGCCATTGGCCTCCTTTGGGGTTCCCAACTTACTGGAGACTTTTTTCCTCTCAGTCATCGGCTGATGGTTACATGCCTTGTCAGTACTGTCTTACTTTAATGAATTCATATTTACTTTACACCTTGTTAGAGATAACCAAGTTGGCCTTGATCTGAACTGAACCATGTTTTTGATATTTCTGAATGCCACTTTTTTACATTCTTCTTTTCTTTTCTTTTTTGGGTCCGAGGTGTTTTCTTTGTTCTCATAGGTTTTTCTGGCTTCTCTTTTTTTTCTGAGCCTTTTTTCCTTCTTTGAGATTCCTTTTTTTTTTCCATTTATTTTGTATTTCGCACCTCAGGTTCCATATGTGTTGACAGAATCTTTCACCGAATTTATTTAGTGCCTTGCCTATTACTTTTCTTGCTGTGTTCTTTCCTTGCGTCAGGTTTTCGATGCTTGTTTTCTTTTTCTCCTGTATCAAGCTTCTTATCATATAATTTCTTGTTTCTATTCTTTCCAAGCCTTCTGTGCCAAAGATACTTCTTTTGACATTATTTTCTTCTAGATCTAGGCCTGTGTTGTCTTCTTTCTTGAGTGTTTTGACTACATCTTCAGTGACCTCTTTTTCTATTATATTCCAGATTTTTTGGAATTCTTTACAGCTCGCTAGGTGATTTATCATTTCAGATTCTATGTAGCATATTATACAATTATCTGTCTCATATAAATCTGGTTTTCTTTTTCTTAATTCTGACATTGTTGGCAGTGACTCGTTAAAGCATTTAACTCTAAAAATTCATTTACTATTATTACTACTATCTAAACAATTGTTACCCTTAACTCCTTCTATATATCTTTATGTTTCTCTCCAATCTATCCCTTCTTCACCCTCCTTTTCTATCCAGGTTTCTATCCTCTTCAGACCTACCCATTCTGCATCTAATATTGATGTTGTAACTTGATTTACAAATTTTTGTATTAGGCTATCGATTGTCATTTCGTTCCAGCTTAGTACTACTTGCATATGTTCATTTTAGGGTACTTGAACTTCTATAAACTTGTTTGATGCAGTACCTTCTTTTGCTAGTCTGTTCACCTCTTCATTTTCTTCGACTCCGCTATGGCTTTTTACCTTGTGCATCTTTAATCTGATTTTTTTGAGTCTTTTTACTCTCTCAATTTGTTATATTAAGCTTCTGTTTTTGGTCTTGA